AGAATAATTCTTAGCCATTTCTAAGCCATTTTGTGAAATGGCTGCTGTAACAAGAAAATATATCAGTATGATGTCTCTAATATTTTCAAGTTACGGGCTCTCTAGTGTTATAAACGTTACAAAAATTTGGTATACAGGGTGGACTATACAAAACAGGCCACTTAATTAATCTTCTGTAGCTGTAGCAGTACGAGAACATTTTTATACGTAATTTAAATGGTTTTATACGATGGAAGAAAAATTTGTTTATAAATTCCATTTTTTTCTGCTCCCTTTTCTCAAGCTCACCTATGTTTTTCTACAGGAATGTATGTATTGCTTTCTACTGCATGTTGTACCAGATAGACTGAAATTTTCAATCAAATGTGAACTTTTTTTTGCCATTTCTTCCATCGAGAAAATTTTTCTTCCATTTTATCGATCCTTTGAAACCATTTGAATTACGTATAAAAATTTTCTGGTACCGTCATAGCTAGAGGAGATAATTAGGTAGCTTATTTCACGTGACCCACCCTGCATACTGTAATACAATAGAAATTTAAACAATTAAACAAAGAACAGTATACAGCCGAAAATTGTAAATATACAAAATTTCCCGAAAATCGTAATTCTAAAGCATATCAGAGACATTCAACCATTCTGACTAAATTGTTATTTTTCGTGAAATAAAAAATTCGATTAACGATTTCTCTTTTTACTATTCTGTCGTGTTTTCCATTCAAGCAGTCCCCGCAACGCTACACGTACGTGATAAAATAATTAGAAATCTTTACCGAGAGCTACTCTGGCACTGGTTGCTTCATGGTTAATCCAAAAGCTGACCCAACTTAACATCACGATTAAGATACTAGGTAAATAAGTTTGGAAAACAAAGTATCCGATGTTCCTCTGAAGTTTGAAGCTCAACGATAGCCTTTGGTATATGCCAGTGGCTAGCCTTTCTTTACGATCGTTCGTTTCGTAACCGATTATCGTAAACTGTGGAAGTTCTGCCTCTTCGACGCCACGAACCGGTGTTTCTTTCCAATACATCACCACGTCCAACACTGTGTATCCGTCTAACAGAAAGTAGTTTCTTTAAGTTCATCACGTTTCACAGATCGTTCCAATTACATTTCATGCGATTATCCTATTACTCCTTCAATTTGTAACAATTTCACGAAATACTCGAATAATCCAAGTTTCGTTAAAAGTCTATCTCAATTCTTTACGCAAAACAGAAGAACTTCTAACATTTCCAGAATTTACATTCGGATAATTGAGAACATCTTATTCATACTGTTACGCGAAATATTCGATAGAAGGTAAATCGGTAACGATAATGTAAAAGAAAAATGTCTAATAACTAATGCTTCCATTGTGTCCGTTTCGAGAAGAATTTGGGCAAAATAATTGAAATCGAAAGAGTTTTCTCTCTTTCTTTTTTTTTAAATTTCATCTATCACTCTGAAGAACGTTTTAAGTGAAGGTAATCTGGAAAAGAGAAAGCGAAAGGAGTTGACAGGAAGGATAAAGAGCTACGGAAGGTAAATATTGATCGTACAGCTCTCGATCTCTACGGTGCAGTTCTGCGAATCGAGCGGATAATAGTGCAGATCCATCATGCAGGCCAGGGTCGTTGTGAATCTCATGCCGTAAGTGACAGATCCGTCTCCGGACAACCGGACGAGTTTATTACGCTCGGTCACGTCGTGCAAGAAACTGCAAACAAACCGAAAACCAACATTTCATCCTTTTCAATCTCATATGAATTTTCACTCCTACACCCTTTTTCTTTCTTTCTTTTTTCAATTAAAAGAAACCTCGGAAAGATATTCGATTGAAGAATTGAATAATACGTATCGTTTCTTTGAAGACAAACGTTGGAAATACAGGCGAATGTTAAACACAGGCGAGTTTTTATTCCAATTGAAAAAATTCTTTCGCGCTCGAAGGAATACGGAAGTAAGTTGATCGGACAAATTGTCGGAGGGAACAAATTTTTTTATAACACTATTTCTAGTTTATATGGATCACGCTGTATATTTTAATAATGCCAATTTTGTAGGTTCGACAGGTAATTATCATAAACTTTCGAAAGTTTCTAGAACATGTGGAAGTTCTTGGACTCTAACGATTCACCGATATCGACAATTTTTACAATCCGTTGAATCTTCTTTCTGAACGTACTTTTTCTGTCAAACACCCGGAAGGTATTGGAAAAAGGTCGCTTTTAATTGCTCGCGCATACCTGTTTTTGTCGTTGGCGAAAAACGTGTCCGGAACCCAAATCTTTTCTGCGAAATCTCCGCTAAGAGTGAGAACCTCCTCTTCTTGGGAAAACGCCAGTCTTTCGTCTTTCCAATATTGATTCAAATACATCGTTATCGTATAATCCTGGATTAAAGGAAGAAAAAGGGAAGTATTTCAGATAAATGACGATAATTTCTAAATAAGCGAAATTATTTCGAATAACCTGAATGATAAGTTTCAATGTTCGACGTTCTTAACCCTAGTGCGTTCTTCGTTTTGACTGTATACTTAAGACGTTTGGGTCAAAGGGGACCTAAGACCTTATGTGTAATAATTTTTGTTTCTAACGCGACATATGAACCTAGACGATAAACGTTTAAAATAACGTTAAGGAGCGTAAACTTGATAACAGCAAAAATGTCTGGAAATATAAAAAGGCGGTGGGTCAGAAGAGACCCGAAGACCGCTCTAGGGTTAATAGATTTCACATGTCCAATTAACAAATAAAATGGAACGGAGATTTATAGTAGTAGTGTATAATACTCACGAAGTATTTAATGCTGTTTAATAAAAAAAAAATACGCCCTTACCATATTTACTTCTGAGATTGCATCAAAACTCGCGATTGTTAGATCCATACCAACCAATAGGGGTTCCCCTGGAAAAAGTGAAACGCAGAAATATGAATAAAGAAGTAACAACGAAGAAAGATAATAATACGAAAATTATAATACAATTCATTTTCATCAGGCAAACAATCGCGCAAATGAAGAAAGTTACATACCGCAGTAAGCGGATTAATTAGGATTTCGTCACGATCAATAGCTTCTATAAGATTCTCGACTACTTTTAGTCGAATTTTATTTCTCGTATAGAGTATAGATATTGTATCTAACAGAGTAACCTAAACAATTTTTTTTAACATTCTTAATTTACTCTTACATTGAGAAAAAAAGAAAAGGCATTCTTCTACGATTTTCTTTTGTTCAATTTTGATCGATTAATTACTGTTTCGTAATAGTTCATCGTGTTTGAAAATTGTTCGGTGAAAATGTGTCTGTTCCAAGCAAAAACGGTAAATACTATTTTTTCACGATTGCATATCATGTCCTGTAATTACGGCTACTGCACGTTTTACAATGAAAATATCAGAAATTTGTGTATAATAATGTTGAGTAATTTTAAGTGAAAATGCTTAAGGGTACAATTACCGCCGAAATTTGGCCTCAATCGAATATCGTAACCGTCGAGGATTCGTGATATAGTTTGTGTTACATTTTCCAGTCTATCAGACACCCCTGTGTTTTCCAGACTGGCCCTGGAATTTCACAAATTATTCAATTAAACGGGGGAATATTTGGTTATCAGCTGTTTTCACATACGTATGTAAATATACATCGGTATTTTATCGAACGATATCTGCATATTCGACGCTAATTTGAGTAATTATAACGATATTTCGTTTTAATCACAGAACACTACTACCGCATAATTTGTACAGTACATCGAAGAACGTTTCATAAGTTCGATCGTTATTTTAACTTTAAAATACATTCGCGTTTCTTCAATTTCAAATTTTAAGTAAAGTGCAAAATTTGATCAATATCTACAGCAACGTTAAAAAAAGTCGACGTACCTTTTAACGAATGTATTCTACAACTTCATTATATATTTATGTTAGTATAAAATGTATTTATATTAGTAATATACCTTAAGTATCTACGTATAATTTTTTTCTCTGTTATGGTAAAAAATAAGCACAATATATTAGCTTCGTATCCCTTGAACTATCAAAGTCGGACGTAAATTCAAAATCTATCTTCTTTCTTCGAATTTAAGTTGTACATTTGCATGTGAAACTTGCGATAAAGTCGAAAGAAAACTTAATAAGTTGGCTGTCATATGTACATATGTACATTCGTTCGAATTACTCATAATTTGAACGAAATAAATTGTTACCAGGCGACCAGGCGAATCATCTGCAACAGAAATAAGATCTGCTGCAGCCACATCCTGTGATGCATCCTCCGAAATTACGTCAGCAAGTACAAGAGGACGTCATCTCGATGGGTTCTTGCACCTCGACATCGAGCTGCCAGAAACTGCAAGCAAAACCGACATGATTCCTATCCTCAACCCTTTATTACACACTGACAGTCGCTTGATACTTCGTCTCTTTAACATTCGACACGCTCGAGACATTTTAATGTAACAACGTACAGTTCTGTACAGGGGGGACAAACGAAACGTAGCAAGTCTCTGTTAACAGAAGACCTTTACTTTTACACCGTACAAAAAAGGAATATGCAGTTATATAAAAAATATGCCGCAGTTCTTCTTTCTTTCGAAACAGTTTGTAGCAATTGGCATAAACGCCGGGGAACGTGAACTAAATTTCGAAGATCTCGAATTTTAGATAATCGGATCGAAGATTGGCAAGAAACTATTCGAAAGTGTTACGAAGGCATCTTGTATAAAAATTGTGAAAAAATTCTTCTTCGTGGCAGCGGAGGTGTAACAACGTTTCACACTGCGTTCAATACGTAGCTATTAACATGAAAATTCGTATGATTCGTAGATAATTAAAATCGTGAAAGAAATAAACGTCATTTCTATATGCTCCGAGTATAAGATCCGAACGATCTCGTCACAGTTCGACGGCGTTCTGTCGTTTTCGTTACCGTAAATTCGTAAAGGTAAATTAGGAAAGAGAACGGATCGTGTAAAAGTGGCAAATCCAAAAGTGTATATTCCTCGAAGTAGCGAAAGGAAGGTTTTAAGGGACGGTGTACTCGTTGCATTCAGCGGCTGGAACGACGTCGACGGAGGGGTCGTCAACAGGATCCGCGAACATTGTCAATGAGAACTTGTCACCAAGAGTCGATGCCTCTCTCTCCCTTCCTAGCACGATCGCCCTTAAAAGGGCACACTTTTCACTACCGAACAGACAGGTTCGTTCACGAGTACTGTCCAACGTCGACGCCGTTGTTGAGGATATTTTCCGACGCTTCGGATGCTGCGCGCCACTCACCCTCTCCACTCATCTATCCCTCGTTCCTCACCCTTCCTAACACCCTACCCGCCTCACGCTCTCACCCTCTACTAACCTCCTTTCGACTTTTCTTTTCGAATAGATTCTGTTCTTATCGCTGCGAGCAACTCTCACTCTTAAATTTTCACCGGTCTCCTCTCCCTTATCTCTCCTTCTTCTCCGTCTGCACTTTCCATTTTCTCCGTTCACCCAAAATTTTCCTGCGTCGTCCTCGTACGACTTTCTCCTTCTCACCATCCATCCCTCTGGTTACACTTCTCCCCTTCCCCTCTTTATCGAATACCGCAAAACAATGCGATCCACACAGCCTCTTTTTCATACGTTCCGTACTTACCTCTCCCTGTCATCCCCTTCCTATCACCTCCTCCTCCTCCTCACCCCCTCACCCATCATCCCTATCCGCTCGATCGCCACCTGCTTCTCTATCACACTTGCACTGCTCATTCTTTTGCTCGCTGGCTTGCCTACCTGTCCCCTTTCACCTATTTATCTCTCGCTTCTGTTTAGACACTGATAACACCGGGCTCTGTATCTCTGGGTACTTGGCATTCCTCGGGTCCCGAGGCGGTCCGGAGGTTGGCGCAAAATGAACCACGCATGTGCAGCCCCGTTTCACCAACGACCTAGTGACACAGAGCCGGGGCTCCCCGGCGCACCTCTCTTTCTCTCCCCTCGATTTCGATATCGGGATCGAAACAGTGCCACCCCCTACGTACCTTCGCAAAACACACATCAGCATCGAGTGTCGTTAACCTTACAAGATTGCTGCTGGTCGCATCGATCTTCACCGCGGAACACATATTTTTATCTTCGAGAATATTTGAAGAAGCGATTTTAGTAATAATCTCCCATCCTTTTGTATTCGTCGCACTTTGATTTTTTTTTTTTTTGATAGAATACGTGGCTGTTTTTATCCCGAACGGAAAGCACGTACGGTGTGATCTTCTAACGATCCGCAATGATCATCAGCGTTTGTAGGAAATGCTTACCGGTTCGAATTACAGGTGCAAATAAACGAAATATCAAGCGTCGTCGTGTAAGAGAAAACATGTTACTTTTGGCCAGCGTGTATTTCACGTGTCTTCGAAGTGCACGGTGCTTCGATTAAACAGTTTTATATTTATGTCGTTTATGTATTTTCAGTTTCGACAGTTCTCTACGCTCTAAATTTGAATTTTGCAGTGGCGGCTCGTCCATAAGGGTCGCAGCCCTTCCAATATAAAATGAAAATTCCCGTTTCAATATCGCCGCTGTTGAATTTATACACATTGTTCATTTTTACAACGTATTTAAAAATCATCGAAATCGCCGATGTCTCATTTCTAAATTAAATTACCTCTAGTTTTATTAATACAATTTTTTCAAACCATACTGTTCCTTTTACTTTTATTGCTGCAGCCCCATCACCACAAATTTTTACGAGCCTGTTATTTCATTCATATCGATATGGATGACAAAAATTGGGCAACTGTCCACCCGAAAAACTTTCCTCCTATAATTGCATATACACTACCGGCCAAAAGTTTGGAATCACCTCCCACTTTTCATCACTATTAAATCTGTTGCTAATTTTTTATAGATTTGAAGTTTATCTCAATTCTACATTTATCAATTTATCTCATATCAATTGATTCGAACGATAAAAAGTTCTCAAAGTCGCTCACTTTTTTTTTGGAAATTTTTGTGTAAATTGCAGTGCTCAGAGATTCCAAACTTTTGGTCGGTAGTGTATGTGAAAATTGTACGTTCAAGAATACCGAATCTGAATGAAGGACACGGTATCCAAACTAATACAGGTGGTCTATTAAACCAGAATATGTCGCATTCGTTTGGATACAAATGGCGCTTAACTTGTTAATTACTTTCATATCAATTAATTTCAAACATTAGATTCAAGTGTCCAATCGAGCGTTTTCTTTGTTTTTTACGTTACGATAAAAGCGATGTTCCACTTTCGTTTGTTCCTGGTACGGACCGTATACAAATGTGAGTGCATATTAGGAGAAACAAGGCAGCAGAACTGTATCTATAATGTTGTACTTTCTCTCAATTCGAACACTTCTTTAAAAGCTTCCAGGTTTGAAGCAAACTCTTACTTCTGTTTTATCAAACGTAAACTACACGGTTACGAAATGTAGCAATATTAAATAACGAGCAATCTAGGTTTGCAAACGGTAAATTTCTTCGACTCTTGTCTAATAAAAATTACGCTAATTTCTAAATATATCAAATAAATTCTTATTATTCTTCGGATAAGTTTTATCAAGTTACATTTTAACGTACACCAAAGTTCTTGTGATAATCTTGTATAAACGCATCTTATTTCATGGACGTCTTTTCTTCATTTTTCTATCGACTTTTTCTATGTAACACCAACGAATAACTATAACTGCAAATTTACAGTACCTATAATTAACGTAGGAAGTTCTATAATTAAGCTCACTGTATCTTATTTCATTGCTTTAACCCCTTAACATATGACAACCTGTCAGACTCGCGGCAGAGATTCTGGTGAAGATGTGAGAAAAATAGTTACATTAGTAAGAAAACTTCCTTGTAATCCTAACTTTCGTTTGAATTCGTAAGACTGAGGATTACTAAATGTAATTAATCTGTAACAGATTAGCTCCTGTTACCTGATGCAGTAGTAAAACAGAAAATGGTGGACGCTTAGACGCATAGTCAGAAAAGAAATCATAGGTTAAGGGGTTAATTGCACATCGTCCGAAACAGAGTATAAATAATAAATTTCCTTGCTTATTGTCTAAGTGTAGTGTTATTTCCAAACTTTTTGGTTAACGTAATGGCAATTTCAGCAATTGAAAAATAAAGAAGATATTAATAGTAATAAAACTGTTTCGAACAGAAAAAAGAGAAATCAATGTCAAAAGATAGGGCAAGATTTATTATTCCTTATTGCAATGTCGATATTTCTTCTGAATTAATATGTGTAATATGTAATGTATAAAATTCGTGAAAAATTTTAGAATTTTAAACATTTTTCACACTGCCTGTATTTCAAAGTTTTTGTTCTTCTCCCATTTTATTCTGTTGACACTGATTCTAGTTGTTAAAATGTACAATTTAAATGTAGTTAATCCATTATTTGCACTAGTAAATAAAACTTGTGTATTTTTATGTATATAAATTGCTACAATCCACGGTCCTTACTATTTACTCTATTGCAATTTGTAACTGTTATTATCTGCACACCTCTATCTACAATTATATCAAATAAAACAAATTCAATTGTACGATATTATTATTTGTATATCGCTGTCAATTACTTTTTGTAATTTATACACGAAACGTAATACAATATTTTCGTATTCGTCAATCTTTTAATTATTACTCAGTTTTCTGATATTTTCTTCACTTCGTTTAAGCAACAAATTAACTTATTTCCTCTGTTTCAGTTTTTAACAACCCATTCACACATAAAAAGCGTAAAATCGTATTTTAACGAAGTACGTATCGCATGAAATACTAAACAGTCGTTAAATTGAACAATATAACTAATGCATCTTCGTCTAAGAAAAATTGTCATCACAAGCCTCTACATTTCTACCCCATTTAGCTCTTTCAAAATTGCTCCTTAGCTCCTGCAAAATTGAACAACTTCTGCTTCGTATTATTCACGTTTGATTTTATTAAGCTGCGTTATGTTCTCACGGTCCTTCGTAAATCGAATGTATTTCGCGAAACGTGAACGAGGGATAGAGCGGAGAATTGAAAAAAAGAAAGGAAAAGTAAGAAAATCGTCGAGAGCATTGACAATGAGGTTTAAACGCGCGGTGTAAAGATACAAAGAAAAATGAAAGAAACGATAACAAAGTTCGTGGAATGTTACAGAAGTAGGATTGTTGGAGCTTGCGCGGCAGAAAGTTTCGTCTCCCAGGTGGGAGATCCACGAGGATCTGTCACAAGAATCGCATGTAGATCTTCCCCGCGAGTGCCGGTACTCGGTTCGAGCTTATTCACCTTTTTCTTCCACCAAAACTTTTCGTGCTATTTTGAGAAAGCATCTGTCCAAGGGAAGTACAGCGGAAATGTTCACGTGAGTAAATTTTCCCTCTTATTTCAATCGACACACGTACATAGTGTAATTTTTAAGTTGCTTCTAATGTTACAATAAATCGTCGTTTTTCTCCTATCGCATAGGCAATATCGATATTTGCAACGCACGTTTTACAATATCCGTATTATTCATCGGTGAAAAATATTAATATTCCTTGTGTAAAATAGATAAGTTTGAAATTCAAAAATCGCACTTAACGTAGAGTTTAACAATGTTTACATTTCATTGCACATTTTGCAATTTAAGCAGATTTTTCTTCGGTTAAACGAATTTAGGATACCTTTAAAAAAAAAAAAACAGAGCAGGAGAAAATTTAAAGAATTCATATTTCAACAGATAAGAATAAATAAATAAACTAGCAATACAGCGAATAAAAGTAAATAACGAAACAATTGTACAAGTCACATTTCGTTATTATTTATATTGCTCGTTTTTTCTAATCGTTCATTGAGTAATTTGTGTTGCAGCGAAGTAATTACACGGGGAATAAAGTGTCGTTCTGAGAATTCAAAGTAAAAGCTCATATGTTGCATATTAAATGTGGAATTAGATGGAGAGATAAAGTATGGTAATGAAAGCTGTGCCAAGGATCGCGGCATTCCGCATCGATTATTTAGCTAGTCTCACAAATATGGCAATATTGATATAGACCGTTAATGAAAAAGCTGAAATTAAAGTGGTACGGGTGCTCGGTAAACGTGTATCTGCAACAGTCGAAAAAAATAATTATCGCCCTTTCGTCTGTATATATCGCCTTTTTACAAGAAAAAAGCAACTACCGCAATCTTCTATTTAACAGCTCCGATAGTACACGCGTGTTACTTACGCCTTTACACACTGTGACGTTTGTACAATTCAAATTATTTACAATCGCTTGTGTTGATATTGAATAAAATTATTCAACGACGAAGCAAAAATGTCGCTGTAATTAAACGACATTTTCTCTTATCTAGACACACGATTGTAATGTCGCAAAATCAGGGCCGCGTTTACACTTTCGGAGGCCCTACGCGCGACATCGTTACGAGGCCTCGAAAGAACAAGCCAATTTCAGTTAATCAAATTCGTACACTTCTTTTTTAAGTTTGTTAAAAATAACAGTGAACATTTCCTTAATTTCCTCATTTCGATAAATCATCGGTCTTTAGAAGTTCGACCTCTCGATGAACAGCGGGTCCTCATACATTTGGCGTTTCCGTTTTCACCGGCCTCCCGTTTTCACATTACGAATTTAATATTTAAAAATGAGTATCTTATTTCGCAACTATAACTAGGCTGTCTTTTATATTTGTATTACATTATTACATTTATATTATATTATTCTTCGCGAGAAGTGACGACATAGAGAGCGAGGCCGCAGCTTGCGCCTTACGGTAGACGCGGTCCTGGTATGAAATTGAGCTTTACAACTTTAACTGTAGAAGATCTTTCCGTTATTGCTACATTTGGTTACTTACGAAAATCAAAGGAACAACATTTTCAAGATAACTGTTCAATGGGTAATTGATCACCCAGATCTTCGGACTTGTGAAATATTTAAATAATCTAAGAAACACACGATATAAACAAATTTGGCAAAAGTCTTGTTTTCGATAGCCCTTTCACAAAAAGGGCACGGGAAGGACTTGAAGGGCGATTCTGACGTAACGAGTCAGAAAGTTCACTCGAAGCATTGAGGGGCACCCTTGTCGGAAGTTGCTGAATCCGCGGTTAAGGAGAGCACTCTTCTACTCCTATTCCCCTCTCTTTCCTTTTTCTTCTTCCTTTAGCATTGCCTTTCACCTTTGTCACTACTTTGCCTGATGTCTACCATTTTTTTTTTTTTTTCTTCTTCCGACGGACTATGTTTTAATTCTTCATCTTTTTCCCTTGCCTCTCTCGTACACCAAAGTTTCTTCCCCCTTTTGGTATTTCCTATACAACGTTGCTCAAAATAGTTGGGGTACCGCAAGTTTAATTCTACTCCGTTATCATTTTATTTGTTTCTTTTTTTAATCGCCCCGTGTAACGTACGATAAAATATATTTTATTCTTAGTTCGTTACTCGTTAGTTTTTATGTATTGATCTACGTAGTTACTTCTTTGGCGCAAATTTTCAAATATTTTTGTACTTTCTCTAAAAATCCGAATAGTAATGCTGTATCAACTTTTACCACATGGTTTCCTTCAATATTAATTTGCATTTGTATTTTTCTCTTACTCTTTCAGAAGCGTTTAGCTTCTATTACTTCTGAGAGATGTTTAATTAATGTTGTACAAAAGATCGTTGAAATTGAAATTTAATTAATAATTTAATGACCGTTGTCCGTCTAACTGTGACTAATAAATTGATATTTTTGGTAGATTAATGTTGCTCGTATTGTTGTCAATGTACAAAAATCGGAATTACGCTCTTGATGTTTCTTCACCGTCTGCGTTAACCAGAGGAACCGTCAACGACATTCTTTCTAGAAATATCACAATGGTGCTTGAGAATCTTCTAATGAATTACGAGAACAATCAACTACCTACTCATGGAAAGGGTAAAGAAACAAATAGTTACGTTTTCAAGCTTACCATTTCAGGCAACAATTATTGTATAATGAGTATTTATGATGTTAATCATTATTCTTGTAATTTTCCCGCTTTATTCGTTAGAATTTCCTTTTTTGTAAATGTAAATTCTACATATAAGAAATAATATATTGTAACATAACAATATAATTACATTGAACACTTTACAGTTTGTACATTACTTACTTATTTTGCAATTATATTTTAAAGGTATAGCTGAATGAAGAGTATTGTTTTCAAATTTTTTTGTGATAATGAAATGTGTAAAATGGTAAAGTCTTTGGATAAATTTATGATTGATATCAATCATGCGAACATTGTAAATGTAATAATGAATTGATGAAAAATATTACACAGGATTGAAGTATGCGAATTTACATTTATGCATCCAGTTTATATAATTTTACGCTTTTAGTCAGTTTTTTAGTCAGACTGCTTGTAACTTAGAAATTTCAACTATACGCTGCTTCTTACGAAAGTAACATTATCAACATATGCCAGATTTATTTCTTTTGCCAAAAAAAAATGGTGTCCTTATTCGTATCATTAAAATACAATCAACAAATTTCTAAATGAAATTTACCATACTTATTATGCAATTACCACTTTGTTGTTACTCTATAAATTCGATTGAATTTGTAAATATAAATACGTATTTGAAACGCTAAAGCGAAGTAACAAATTTAACTTCTACTTAATTAAAGTACAAATTTCAGTTTTTCAAAGTCAATTTATTATTTCATTACCGAAAGTCACTGCAACCTAAAACAGGTTACTAAATCAAGTCGAAAGGATCATTTTTAATAGGAAAGAATTGATCGTGATCGTTTCTCCAGTGACCGAGGCAATCCAATAAATTTTCTTCACGCTCGATCAGATCGCCCTGTGTTTATTGGATTAATTCAATCTGGATAATGAAAGGATTAAACGATTACAGACATTTCCTCGAAAAATTTCCGAGTTTCATTCCCAATATCCGTATCCCTTCTATCGTATCTTATCAATCTGACAGAGTCTTCAAGTTACAATTTTTATTAGTTTCGACCGGTGTCATCGGAAGTATGATAACTGTCTCGAACGTTTTCAAAGTTTCTCTAAACTGATCAAGTGTTGGAAACTTCCTGAGACTGAGATTTCTTCCAGTTGACCTTGTTGTTCTTCCGTGCCTTGTTTAGAATACAATTGGAGAAGGAAGTAAAGTGAGACGCAAATTATTGTACGGTGTATTGGGTTAAGTAACAGGTTCGTTCACGTTTCTTTGGAAGAGAGTCGAATCTTATTATTTTTACGTAAAACGTAATTAATGTAGATACATACATATGTACTATTTTGGGATATTGTTCTCGATTGAGATGAAACTTGGTGGATGTTACGTGGTGTGTGAAAGAACTCCAAATATGAAATCTTAGCTTCGAGAATTCACCCGTTCGGAAGATACAGGTTCTAACCTAACCTAACCTAACCTAAAAAATCTGCGAGTTACATGATATATTGCTTCGTATATCGTATTTTTGCTACAACTTCTTAACAAAGCCTCAAATGACCTACGTTTATATAACTTATTTTTTTACTTACTGTCAATTTGTTTACATACTGATAAAGTTTGATCGGAGAAAATTGAGACGTCCATTATATTCGTATGGTATTTTATACCTTTAATGTTTCTTTCTCAATATGCAATGTTCATTAAGCAGCATTCTCACTATACGAATACATTCTGATTCATCTAATGGCAAAGTTATTTATTAGCATTTGGCAACGTGAACTTTTTCTTTTAGTGACATATCAAGCAATATACTATTCTTGAACGTTGCACAACTTTTATTGGCTCTCTATACGTATGTTATTTGGGTTATTTTTATAAAGTACATATGTACAGTTGTTAGACTTGTCATGATTCGTTCCAATAAAAAATATTTAAAAAATGGTACAATTTCACATAAAAACAAAAGGTAACACTCGTATCTTTAAAAAAAATGTACATAAAACAACTCTGGTTTACGAAAGTTATGCATACTTATTGTGCGTACGAGTGAATTCAGCGATTTTTTTCATAAATTTTAAGGTTTATTTACAAAAGATCAGATACAATTTTAATGTTCAAAATAATCTCCATTATTTTCGATGACATTTTCCCATTTATCGGGTAAGTTTATCAATTTGTCAAGTCGAGATTTTGTTTAAAAAAGCATCGAATTAATTTCTACACTCGATAAATATGAGTTCAACTTTTGTCTAAAACAATTTCTTTTAAATTTCAACGAAAGTCTTGCAACTTCGTATCGGGACTTACCCACGTTACGTGGGACACCCGGTATACACTGTGTAACAGGGGGAATTGTGCGGAATAGAAGTATAGAGTGAAGAAAACGAATGATACCCTACTCGTATAGAGACTTTAAAATGTTTACAACAAAAAAATTGGAGCATTGTAACAACCTTTGATAAGTGATCGAGCGAAAAGGAAAAAAATAGGAGCCGATGCAATGGAACGCGCTGGAAGTTGGACTGAAGCCAACCGAAGAAAAGTATCCCTTCGAAATCGCCTTTATCCCTAGCATGCGGTCTCACTTTTCCATGATTTTCCTTTTTTTCCAGTCGAAAGAATGCCGAACTATCCTTTTGATTATCCCCCTGAACTCATTTCTGTCAGTATATCCATTATTTTTTTTCTTTCTTCTGTTTCATGCACAGCCGTCGTTCTTCCATTTCTCTCTGTTGGATAATTATTTTATCTCGAAAATGGACACACACACATGTGCAAATTAACGAAATTCTCTTCTTTCCGTTAAATCGTTAAATTTGTATTTAAATTTTAATTCATCAAAATTTATTTTGTTGCTAATTTTCGTTCTGTATTCGAATACTTTGCATACTTAATCACGGGGCTTAACTTCTTTTCGTGTTTTTTAAATATTCAGTGACGCGGAATAAAAGAGATAAAGTAATGGAAATAGCTTGCAATTCGAGAATTTCTTTTGAAAAATGTATGCCTTTGTTAACATATTCCCAGTTATACATTTTATACGCCTCAGTAAATGGCGACATACTTGTGCAAATGATTTTTTACAAAAATCTTTCCCGTTATACTTCAGCTGTTTCGTATGAGCAATTACAACGGCGTAATGTTACCGTTGAATAAGCATTCGCTTACATATTTTGACAGTGCTTTTGAAATTCTAAATGTTGACTGTGACTTAAACTTCAAGCTGAAGTGCTCATTTTTTAAAGCACATTCTCGTTTATCGCCACTTGCCATTTTTACGGTTTTAAGTTCACGAAACACGAGATATCTCTAATATATCTCTAATACATCAGAAGTACAATTGTGAATGTCTGGTTATTAGGGACGCCAACTGTGGTGAAAACAAATATTTTGATAAGAAGCATGGGCCCTGTATCGGAATTGGATATGGTAGGTTCCTAAAATAATAGAACTCCCTTTAATAACAATAGAACTTCTCAGGTCTGTAACGTGATTTTCTCGGTATATTTGTATTAGAAAAATTATGAATAAAAATTTCGATGTCTGCGACGCGACTTATATACCTTTCTACGAAATCTCTAAAACTATTTTCGAGTGATTTTAATATCAATTTCCTTTAGATTTGAAATTATTTTTATAAAATTTTGATAGACGAAGAAAGAGTAACAAGCATCTGATGAATTTCAATTATTGCGCATTTTTTTATTACACTTACTAGCGTTAATTTTACAGGATTATTCAATGGACTGTTACTTTCGACAATCTTGGCGGGATTCTCGTCTGAGTTTTTTAGGTCCAATAAAATCTCTTAGTTTGAGCATCAAAATGTTAGAGAGGATCTGGAGGCCGGACACGTATTTTTACAATGGAAAACACAGCTACGTGCATACCATCACGGTACCGAATAAATTATTAAGAATCTCACGGGACGGGGATATTCTATATTCCATGAGGTTATTATCAACTTAGCCAATAGTTCTTCATATTTTCTTCGTTATTATAATTTCAAATATTATGCAATATTATATCAACAATATCGATAGAGAAACATAAATTCAGGATCATTAATCGACGTATACTGTCGTTCATAAGTATTAGGACACCCGCTGTGTTCGTTTAGAAAGTTTTGTATAATTTAAAATACGTTTCAATATTTCTTTTTACGATCTTAATCATTTTTTAACGTCTTCTGTGAGTGAAATAATTTTATATTTAAAATTAACACGTAATGGCAAAGAGGCTTGTTTCACATTCAGTACGTAGAACTTAGTAAATTTCAGTAAAATTTACCGAACATAATTAATCCCATTACAATAGACACTTTTTTCTCGATAGAAAATTACCAATCCTCGGCTTTACGACACGGACGCCTATCTAATAGACTATTTTTGAGTGCCCCTTCTTTCAAAGGCCCATAGTTTAATTAATTTCCTTTGCCAGAGGTCGAGGACCGAAAAAGTGTTCTATGGTCACAGAATCCCTGCATTCTTACCGCCCATCCGCCTTTCTGGCGTCCATCTACTACCCTTCAATAGCTAATGACGTGTCGTAAAGCCACTCAGTAACATTGAAGCGCCTGAGTCCCATTTGGGGTAAGCATCCCTTGGGCGGCCCAAGTTGGGCCCGCGGGCATTCCCCCCACTCTTCCAACTTGGGAATCCCAGAGTGGGGGGCATGCCCGCAACTCGCGGAACGCGGCCCCTGGGCTTGCTCACACGGGATTCGTCACACTTGATACACACTCTAAACCGTAGAGATTCAATATAAACTGAGATTTTCACAACGCAGAGAGAGTTCTTTAACACGTTGACTGGCACGTGACGCGCCGGCGTGTCACACTATATCTTATTGCATACTGCAATTTTCATATGTGCAAAATTGCATAAGATGTTTTTACGGTTTCATGTCACTTCGAGAAGAGAGTGACGAACATGAACTTTCATTGTTTATTGAAAAATTAGGAAGGATCGTAGAATAAACGAAAATTAATTTTGGAGAAGACATACTATTGTTTGACATGTTTGCACCTGAGGAGAGAAATGTGGAAATTGTTTCGGTAGCCAAAATGTTAAAAAGAAAGACGCGATAGCAAATACAGCAGGCAATTCAGACAAGCGGTCAAAACGTACACCTTGTAATCAGAACTTCACGCAAATTAGTTTGCTCTCGTTAATTTAAGACAAACACGTTCGTGTTAAAGGTTACCAGTTTGTGCTCAAGCGAGCCTTACAACCGCGCGAAAATACTGTGAATTGCTTCTAATAGACGGAACAGCAGATTTCAGTAAATTGTTCCGTAGGTTTCAAAAAATTTCAATAGATTTTGGTAGATTTCAGTAAATTACAATAACACTATAGTCCTAATACTTATGAGCAGGAGTGTACATATAAAAATTTTACAATTTAAGTTTAAAAACATAAAGATTCTATAAGGCGAAGATAAAGTTTCGTGAGGTTACGTAAAAAGATGGGGTTAGTCGTTGAATTGGAAAAAAGACTGAAGCACAGAAAATGAAAATAATTATTTGAGAAATAATAGAATAACGATGGAAAAAGGATAATAGATTTGTAGATCCAAAAGAGAAACATTTCTATTAAATGAAAAAAATGTTTCACGTTGCCCATTTACTATAGATCAATTTTTACTAACTGCTTAGTTTATTTCATTATTGCAAATGACTGAAAACTTGAAAAGAAATTATTCTAACTTGATTAAAAAACACAGGCTTACTATAAAAGCAAAATGTCCAATGGAGCTCAGAAATTTTCCCATGGATCGGCAGTCCTGTCCTCTTATTCTTGGAAGCTGTAAGTACTTTTAGAAAAGTTTAAAATATAAATTTGCAAATATCGCTGGGATATTTGATAGTTTAAAAAAATGTTCCAAAAAATATCAGTTGAATTTGAAATTTAATAAAAGATTTCCTGTAAATATCTTCACGTCGCGAATTTTTACTAGTATCCATAAACATATCGATGTTATATTCACAGCTAGCATTTTATGAAATTCCACAGTGTCTCTTTGTTCCTTTTTTTTCTTTATTGACAAAATATGTGAATTCTCCACTTTTCAGTGCAGCACGAAATTTGATTTTCTTCGATATTCAAATTCTGGTGTTAACTTTTATTTAGTCAGAATCTTACGGCACGTTTTAGATATTAAATTTTCACCTTACAATATATTCTTGTATATTTGCAGACGCGTATACCTCTGGCCAGTTAGTATACGAATGGCAAGAGGGATCTTCTGTAAATTTCGTACCTGGAATGGCTCTTTCACAGTTCGACTTAATGGGTTCACCGTATAGAAATTTAACATTCGTTCGTCGAGAGGGTGAATTTTCAGTTCTCCAAGTCTCCTTCAACTTGCAACGACATACCGGATATTTTCTCATTCAGGTAAGTTAATAAATATATTTGTACTTATCAACTGTCGTCTCAGTCACTATGATGTTTCACACTAGAACGACCGGCCGGGTCAAAAATGACCCTTTAGTAACTTTCCAAAAGAATAAAGTGAATGCTCGATACTGGTAAGTACTTACTATTGTTTGCAACTTTCCGACTTTATTCTCTACACGTATGTTTCCATTAGTATCGATGTGAATTGAATTTCTGAAAGTCGCTGATGGGTCATTTCAGACCCAGCCGATCGTGTTAGTGATAAATCACTTTAGTCGTAACTGTATATGTGTAAACTATAGTCATTTATAGTCATGTATTGTAATTATAATACTATTAAAACAGTAATTTAGTATATTAATTTTTAGTTTAACCTAATTTCACTTCGTTCAATTTTCTCTTCGATATATTAACGTCAGCAATTTTTGGAGAAAGAGAACTCAGCGAAGAGAAACGAATAAACATTTTCAGGGTGATTTAAAGATAATACTGATTTCAATAGTATTCATTCTGCGCACCAGTATAATTACGTGCAACGAAATTACGTGTAACATTTGACAATTCGTTATTTTCCTCAATGGTTTTTCTTTGTCATTTATTATACCAGGTTTACGTGCCCTGTGTTTTAATAGTAGTACTAAGTTGGGTGTCATTTTGGATTCATCGTGAGGCCACCAGTGATCGAGTCGGCTTAGGTAAATTACCTTCGTTAAAATGCATTCATTAAAATATGTTAGACGTTATACACAGGATGTTCTAAAATAACAAGACAAGACTCGCTAATTTCTATCAGGGAAAAAAAGATGTACCAGAGATTTTTCGATTCCTTTTCGTATAAAAAATTAGCAAACATCGAATTGTACCATAATTTTGAAACAGCCTGTATTACATTACGTTCTATTATATAATGTAATCATTTCTCTAAAACTGTTGTGTATAATTGAATAAACTGTTATTGCAGGTATCACCACAGTTTTGACTCTGTCGACTATCAGTCTCGATTCCAGAACAGATTTACCGAAAGTCAGATACGCCACTGCTCTTGATTGGTTTTTATTGATGAGTTTTGGATACTGCATCGCTACCCTTTTGGAATTCGCTGGTGTACATTACTTTACAAAGGTATATAGGTACCACGCATAATTTTATATTTCAACTTATTCCTAATTCGACAAAATTTCAACGATAACGTGCGTGCCAATAAATGGACAAACGTAAGCTAGATATCGATATGCGGATATAAGGGGAATTACCGAAATCGTATATCACTTAATCGGTACCCCGAGGCTTCTAAAAATAGGTAAAAGATTGGAAATTTTTTTCATAGTTTACTACCGAATGAAAAGCTTCTTCATCAGGATATAAATCCAACTTTCAACTATTTTCTGCAATTTCTAAGAAGTAAAAGTGTTACAAAATGGAGGGACTGTTGCGAAACCTGTTCTGCCAGAACATCGATCGCTGGCTGCCAACGCCGGCAAGGATTGAAACGTCTGGAGTAAAAAATTCTTTCTGATTTATAATTAAAAATGTGTTACCTACAATGTAGCGTGCGATTTTATCGATGCGTAAATTATTTCATTTTTTAGACAAGTTTAAATTTGATTTTTCTTTTTGGTAGAAAGGGGTTTCTCCTCTTCGTACTGCCATCATATCTCTAACAATTACAATTTTTCAAAAATATCAAGCCACGTTGCAAATAGCGCATTTTTAATTACAAAGCAAACAGAATTTTCTCTTCTTCAAACGTTCCATTCCTTACCGACGATGGAAACCGGCAATCACATTCAATCGACACGATTAACTTTACTTTACAGTTTTGAAACATTTCCAAATTTGAAGTTCTTTAATTCTCTAACGATCTTAACACTTTACCGACCGATAGCCTATTAATCGGCTTTCTGTTACCAACGCTTACCGACCGGTAGCCTATTAATCGCTTTTTTGCTACCGACGTTTTTCGACCGATAGCCTATTAATCGGTCAAAGTTTGATTGAACATTTCTGTAGGTATGAGAAAAAGCGCATATATTTCCGCGCGAGAGCCTAGAGTCTAAACAGAGCCGGTGTCAGCGATGTATCTGTGCCCGAGTGAGCGGTCGGTAATGCGTAGGATGTTCAATCGCTACCGGTCGGTAAAGTGTACATCTGTGAATAATTATAAAGCCTTAGATAACTTTTGCCAGGTTGGCAGCGGAGAAATTCCTTTGGACGAAGAAGAATGGGAGGACGAGAGTGAAACCGATTATCAAGATGGATTCTGCAGCATCGTATCGTGCAGTCCTCAAACAGTCGAGCCGGAAACAATAATAGATGTACCACGCAGGAGAAGCTCTTTAATATGTGATGTTTATGGTGTTAACGTAAATATATGTTGCGAACATGTACGGAAGTGTTCAGCTTGTCAGGGCCGTGTTTATACTTTCCGAGGCTCTAGGCCAGTGATGGCGAACCTATCACACGCGTGTCAAAGGTGACACGCATCGACTTAAGTCACCTCACAGCCGAAACCAAGCAGATCACAAATAATCATCACACATACAGCGACGAAAAACAACGGTGTCTGTCTTCTACCAACGAGGTTCAGAATCGTTAATTCGGAGCTGAACCATAGCGAGTGCGTGATCGTACTAGGTCGTAACGCTCGCAACAATTATGGATATTTCTAGATGTGACGCGGCACCCAAGTTAAGCTAGGTTTCTTCCCAATTTTGACACACCGAGCTCAAAAGGTTCGCCATCATTGCTCTAGGCGCAACACGTCTAACTGTAATTTTGGAAATGCGGCGCCGCAGAGAGCCAGGCCCCAGCTAATGCGCCTTATGGTAAATACGGCCCTGCAGCTTGTTGCGCAATAACGAATAAACTTTCTTTATTACTATTCACCGTATTATGTTCCGCAAAAGTTACAAGATTTGGTGTTAAAGAATACCCACTTTGAGAGCGTATAGTAGTCGCTAAATTGAGCAACAAATGTATATAGCAAATATACGACAAAAGGTTCATACTCAGGAGATAGAAGCGATATTCTATTTCTAGTGATTTGCTATTTCGAAAATGGCCTGCTTTCTTTCTTCGGATAAGTAAACAGGTATATTTCATCCGTTGTACATTATTTACGAGTGTAGAATACGCTAAATTTTTAACATTAACCCATAAGAAAAGCAAAGGATTTAAATTGGATGAACGGAGGTCGCCAGCCACTGATCCTCTCCGTTTTATCTATCTTTCATGAAGGTACTGCAGCGAAGAATGTAAAAGAAACGTATTTGCAATCTAGCATGAAGAACCACATACTCTAGACGAAGAAACAATGAACAGACTAAAAAGTTATAGTACTTAACCTCTTAGGCACGGCGGAACTTTACGCGGGGCTGTTTCTCGGTACGGCAGAGTTCAACGCGAATTACGTGTAAATGATACGGCACTGCAATGTGTGACGGATAATGCTGTTCTTTACACGAGTACATTGGAATGAAGTGTTTGATGATTAAATTATAATTTTTCATTAGTATTTATAAAAATATTTATTTTTAAAAAAACAGAAAGATACATCCGCGTAAGCCACTATAGTGGTGCGCCGTACAGAAAGATGATATCCGCGAAAGCCACTATAGTGGTGCTCAGTGCCTAAGAGGTTAAGTTCCAACTGACAACAATTCTACCCTTCTCAGCTTAATTGTCCTAACTAATATTTTTGAACATCGGAGAAAAATGGGAATGCCTGTAATTAAATACAATTTAACGCTATCTAAATGTAATTTGTTAAATATAATCACGATTATTGTATAATTGGAAACTATCTGTAAAACAGCCAAGACAAATCAATCAGGCTATTTGGAATTTCCAGAGCCCTATAAAGCGTACAAGACATTCTAACTTCGCTTAAAGGGTGAAAAACATGTGAAGCTTCCAATATTTCGAAACATCCTGAAAAATGAGAAATTGGTAGATAGGATACTTTAGCTAAGGAGGGCAGAACTGTTCATTGTACTCACAGACCCAAGAAAACGAAGAATCGCTTCTATCTCTGACAATATAGATTTCTCAACTTATGCATATTGAGAACTTGTTATTCACATTAACAAACACTATACTGTCCAAAAGAGGGGAAAATTTTTCTTTACCACTTGGTGTTATTCGTTTCCTTAGAGACGAAGTTTTGATACTCGAAATTAGTATCTTTTATGTAAATTCCTTTACAATTAGTAACGTTTTACTTCTCGTTAATCTTCTTTATTTACATTGTTTCTGTATTATAATATTCGCATTGTAATTTTCTAATGGAAATGAAGCACTGAATTGCGAAAATATACAGGGTGGGCCACGTGGAACAAACCACCTAATTATTTTCTCTAGCTATGACGATGCGAGGAGATTTCTTTATAAATGCTACTTTTTTGTTTCAAGGTCATAGTGTATATATTTTTTTCTACTGTGAACATGCATAATAATATGACCACGGACTCTGAAATCTTTAATCAAATGTGCAATTTCCTTTCATTCTTTGGCCATTTCTTCCGTGAAGAAAATTTTTCTTCCGTCTTGTTCACTCTTTGAAACCATTTAAACTACCATCATAACTGGAGAAGATAATTTAGGTGGCCTGTTTCACGTGGCCCACCTTGTATATTGAAAAATGTATTTTGGAATGATCTTTCGATTTAGGAATCGGTATCTTATGGAAGAGGATCGATGACAGTGTCTGTTACTTCCAGACCGTCAACAATGGAAAGGCAAACGCAAACAGAAGTTTGGATACCAAAATGGCGGCAATTTCTTTATTGTCTCGCTGGAGACGAAGCGTTTAGGTAAACGATTCACGTTTTCAAACACACGCTTCGAGATCGTACATGTGATATATTAAAAAGTGTTCGATATTTTGGACAAATTTGCGATTAACAATTATTACAACATAGTTACACTGTTTTGCCAATTTCTGTTTTAATCAACGGTTTTGAGTCTTCTGAGCAATTTTAACAATTTCAATTCTAATTTGCTTGTTCGTTGATTCAAATTATGTAAAATGTACAAATATCATCTAATAATACACAACTAAAGTAAATTCCAAATAAACTAAAATAAAATTGCAATAATTTAAAAACTAATAAAAAACTCAATGTTCCAAATCACTCTCAGCCGTTTTCTCTTTCTCTATTTTAACTGTAGGAAGCGTAGGCAAAGGGAAGCAGCTGGAAATTGCAGGAAGCACGGTGAAAAAATTGCGAGGCACATAAACAGCGTGTCTACCATTGATAGAGTAGCGCGAATAGTATTTCCAGCCTCTTTTGGATTTCTTAATGTTTGTTACTGGGTAACTTACGTCACTTATCAAGAGGAATTTAAATGGCAGGATCCGCCACTTGGATCAATTTCCAAATAATTCAACTGAAAAACTAATTAATATACAGACGTGTACCATATTTCATTCAGATTAAAATGTATGTACAATGTTATTTCAGTGGAAACTTCGTTTCGAAAGTAAAAACTCAGATTTTGGTAAATTGTCGAATAATAATTCCTATTCCCTTAACAAACAATATAATTAATTCTGATTCCTGTTTCGATGAAATATACAATTTAATAAAACGTGTAGTATTTAATAAATGTATATTCAAATTTGATTTTCCCAGTTTTCCATTTGTCGGTAAATTTGTTTACATTGTTGTTTTAGTAAGGAAAACAATTTTAAAATACTCACACCAATATCGTACTTTGTCCGTCAATGTTTCATGTGACACAAAATGACAATTTTCGAAGAATGCGGGAAATTAAATAGGTTACGATACTAAACAAAATTTTCATATTTATTATATTTGGTTATCAATGTTAAATGTATTAAAAATTTTTAAATTATTGCACTTAATTGTGTACTTTTCATATAGTGAGTATGCTGATAAAACGGACTAAGTCGAAAAATGCTCGTTTTTATTTTATGGTGAAAAAATATATAAAAATTACCCATTTATAGGTCGACCATGCAAAACTGAAGGTTCTAGAGCGCATGCTCAAGCAAATGAGCGGTAAAAAAAACGGATACGTCATCCCCACTGTTCTATGGTTCCACCTTTGTCTTCGCTTAAGGGGAAATTCTGGTGTAGATAGACAAATTGTTTTTAACTAACCGTTGGTAATATTGCGCGTTGACAAAAAAAAAAGAAATCTGAACTGTGTTCTGTGGTCTATCTGTTCAGTGCTTAGACAAATATTTAATAGCACCTAAGACGTTAATTTATAAATGACTCGCAAAGGAAGAACTGATATTGTAAAGAAAACCTTAGGCGATGTATTAATACTTTTTGAGATTTCGAAAAGTGAAAACTAAAACTTTTTATGTTATTCTTGAATGGTAAAAATAGTTTCTCTGCGCTCATCCCTTATACAGTAAATTCTCTACAAGAGTCAGTAAGTTTGGATTCTACAAGTGACAGTATAGATGGTCCTACGCCTAGGTCTGCGTCATTGCTGCGCCCATGTTATCTCGCTCGCAGTCGGAGATTTCACGGCTCGACAAATCATAATAGAAAAATATAATTTCTTTAATTTT